TCAACACGAAGTAAATAAAATACAAGACTGAAAGTAGCTTCTGGAGGATCCCAACAGTATACAGTAAGCTCAGCATAAAAGAATCTATTTTGTAGAGTTGTCACCTGCTAAGCTCGCTACCTGCTAAAAACATCCCTGTAGTAATCATCTTTCCAGCTGATTGCGTTCCCTCTCAGCTTTTTGCCCAATGAAGAGCATATATCATGTCCATTCCCGTTTGTGTGTATGTATGTGTTTAAGTTCAGTGTGTTGACATAAAAAGGTAAATTATCATATTTTAATGATTCTAAATGCATCTTTTTCCACATTTTAACATTGTTTAAATCATAAGGAAGCTTACAACTGATGGTGTATAATAGCGTAATTGTGTTTTTTGTTTCTTTCTTTACAAGCAGTACATAAAATAATGGCGCATATTAAAATCAAAGGCGTCTTAGATTCTATGTAAATTATATTTTGTAGAACATTTTAGGAGCTACGAGCAACTACTAGTCCTACATAGTACCCTTCTACTTTTGTGGGTATGAGGAGAGAAAAAAAAGACAATGTCTAGTAAATAAATGCATTAGAGGAAGGTCCACGTTTTGTTAAATAATGTTTAGGCATTTTTAAACAGCAATATAGAAATATAAATTGAAAAAATAGAAATAATCTATATATACATAGGTCATGGATTGACTAAATATACTGTAGTCAGTTCAAAAAATAAAATACTGTGCATACATGAAAAAGAATGAAGTATATATATGAAAAAATGTGGAAACATCCACAAAATATTACCAAGTAAAATAATAAGACAGAGCAGTATACTAATACATGTTCGCATATGCAAACAATTTGCGGGAAGATAAACGCCAAACCATTGATAATGGTTAAAGGGCAGGGACCAAATTATGGAGAACTTTTGTTTTTCATTTTCTATACTTTTGTATTATTTGAACATTTTACAATAATAATTTGTAATTAGAAAATTAAAATTTTTATTTTCTTCACTACAAAATTACAGGAAAATAAGTTCATTATTCAATTCCCTAAAGCAGTCTCAGAAGACAAAAAATAATTTACTCCACAAGTCATGAGGTGGTTCAGAAACCCAATTTGGTTGGTAAAATAAAAGCCTAACTAGGCAGTAAAATGAAAACAATAAGAAAGACACTGCAGTAATTCAAAGTGAGCATAAGATTCAAAGTTTACTGTGTAAGTTTTAAAGAAAAATTACATAAACCACTTTACACATAAAACTGACTTTGAAGCGCCACCTATAGTTTAGCAGTCACACTAGATCATGGCAGCTCCTGGCAGAAAATAAGCGGATCCTGAATTCTGAAACCTTATCCTAGACCCTCTAAATGGAAGCTATCCAACTTGTTATTAATGGCGAGATCGAGACAGAATGCATTTGGTTATTAAATTCCCTTTGGAAAATGAACAGAAGTCAGGTTAGTGTCTTTTTATTCTATCTTAAATTTCTGTGAATAATCTAGACCAATAAAATCACGTTGTTCAACTACTTCAAAACCTTTATATTTTCTTTCATTGTAGATATCAGAGTCTGGATTTTGAATAGGTGAGTGCCTATGTTTATCTAGAATAAATATATTAATTGAAAACAGTCAAGCTTATCTCATCCTGGGGTACAAAAATTTTAATTTCCTCACCTTTGGAGTTGAAAAGATGATAATCAAGGACTCAAAAAATCTTAGAGCTAAAATATCTTTGAGAAACCATCTGCTTCATCATTTTAATTCTACTGTTGCTTATGCTAGAGTAACCCAATGATAGAATTCCTGCTGAGAGTTAAAATGATTTTAGGAGAAATGGATTAGTTTACAGGTATAATTCATGTTCTGAAGAGTAATGGCCTTATAAAGACCCCCCAACTGATGATAATTTATTTATTTATTAAAAACTTTTAAATGTTAAGTATATATAATACAACATCCTTAGTGATTAATTTCAAATTTTAATGCATTATCGAAATATTCTTATTTCTAGTGTTAGGAACCACAATATTGATCTGGGTAAAAGGTGAATTGTGTTTGATGACCTGTGTAGATAGTGATTAAAATCAGGGCAAATAAAGTGAGATAGATGAACAGCTGTCATCAGGTCAGTCACAAACAGACATCTGGAAAGAGAGACAATTCAAGTCTGCACACCAGATCCCAGGCTGTCAGAAGCAGCATGCCAGACACCCTCTGACTCAGAAGTCACTGAGTTTCATGTAGAGGCAACCTGATGCCTTGAACAATTTAACTGGTAGTGAAACTCTTTCTGATGGCATCTGCGCTGGTCAACTGTCTGTTCTCAAATCAGTCCCCTACCTTCCTCTTGCCCTGTCCCATATTATAGGGAGCCCTTTCCCGTGGCTTCTGAGTAGGTTTAGCCAGTGGCAGACATAGTTGGAAGGCCTGGTGGCTAAAAGAAGACAGAAGCTAGAGTATATCTCTCCGCCAAACTTGTAGTGTATCCGCCATGGTTTTGAATCCCACTGGAGAAGCCCATTTTGCTTCTAGCTTTTACCTGGTGTTCCAGACTCCTGGCCTATGATAGTAGAGGCTCCTCTCTTGTTACCTCCAGTCTAGGAACTGTAGCCCAAATGTACCAGGCTACCTTGCCCTCACTTTGAAATAGCCTTGATTTTGTTATGGGACCAGGTTTACTACAAGTTGTCTGCTGGGGGAAAAGAAGAATGAATTTGCTGCATGTTATCAGAAAACTCTCTCTGTCCTAGAATAAGGAACTTTAGGTAGTGCATTGCTATTAAGACAATAAGAACTAACATTTGTAAAGAAATGTCCAACTTACAAGTACATCCACATATATTGTCTGCAACTTACTGGGCTAATATATCTTGTGTACAAAATGCTAAAGTGAAATTGATGTATAAGTCATATCATTTCATCATACACATCTACTATGAAGCATCTGTAGATGTTTTCTGAGAATTAAAAAAATAGCAATTTCCTCTTCTTTTTCTGTTTCTCAAATCGGGCTAATTGATTGTAGGGTAGTTCTTTTGTTCCTAAACATAAGTGATGACTTTGGAAACTCACAGAGATAGAAGTAGTGGCAACTGATAACCATCTCATATTCTAGACTGTGGGCTGATGAGAATCCATAGCACACACATTGGAAAAGTTTGCCAAATAGTAGGGCGCAGTCACAATATATCTCTCCTAGATTATTAGAAAATTCTTCTTATACAAACCACTGTTGGTAAGAAGACATTTCAACATTTTATAGAAAGTTAAGCACACATTCTCACCAAATACATTTTCATTGCAATTTGTGATGGCAATAATCACGTACTATAATCCCCAAATAGGATGAGGTAAAATTATCAAATTGATTTCATTAAATAATTAAATTATTTAATTAATTTCAATATATTTAAATTAATTTCTATTTAATTTCAAACATAAATTAGACTACATGATTTTGAATAATGTTTTAGTTTTACAGATCCTAAGAGTTTCTTTTAAAATCACAAGGTTTCTACCTACTCAAAGACCTAAATAAAACTTCACATTCTTTGTAATTACAGTTCTTGAATTTTAACACAGAATATCACTTTTCTAAAATGTCTTCTCATATTCCTCCCATATTATTCCCACTCCTTCTATTTTCCAGAGTTTCTCTCTCACATGAGATTATATCAAGACACTCCAATCTTTATTTAAATATCTAGAAGGCAGGGGATGGTAAAATGTGTATATCAATTTAAGATTTCATTCATTTTTTTCCTCAAATTGTTTTATTTCTTTTCTTTTACAGTCTATTCATCTGGGGTTTGCTTGCCATCAGATCACTTCTTCCTTTCAGCTCAACTTATTTGCCTTCATTGGCTATTGGATTCCTCAAAGTTCTATTTTCTGCCAGTGTTGAATATCCAGCAAATTCTCTTTGTCTGCATTTGCTGCCCCACATCTCACCCTTTGGCAAAGCCACTGAAGTTTTCTTCTACTGATTCCTCACCATCCACCAACATATCTGCAATATGGGTTTACTAATATCAAGCAATTTAGCTCTGCTGCTAAAGGGGACCAGCTTCCCCTCACTGACGGGAATTCCCAAAGGAGCTAAAAGCAACCATTGGGCTGAATCTATTTCTCTGCTTTGTCTTAAGGGAATGAGTGTTCCTTTTATTACCCTAGCTGCATTTTTTTTCTTCTGTTTTTGAAAGTGCTTAGTCTCATTGACAGACCAGCCTGTCTCTCTGGTTTAAACCTGTAAGTGTTTTATTTTACTGGCTTTAGCAATATTCCTTCCTTTGCAAAAACACCTAAGTCATTTAGAACTGATGCTTCGCTTTATGAGAAAACTTGATTGCTAAGTCAAACCATCTCTTCTGGGCTCCTTCTCTGAAGCTTCAAGTTAGAATTTACTACACCTGAAACTTTTACAATGTTATAAAACCAATGTTACTGCAATAAACAAAAAATTAAAAAAAAAAAAAAAAGAATTTACTACACCTGAATCCCTGCACTTTAAATTGTTATTTTGTTACATCATTCAGACTCTTTTTAGTCAAGAGAAGACACTCTTCCTCAGCTTGAGTATTTGTATGGTACGACGAATAAGGATTTTGCTCATCAGGACTTTTTTTTCCCAAGTTGACCATTCATGAACAAATGATATGTAAACACTGATAGTTTTTTTTAATGTATATGGTTAACAAATTTTCAGAAGTTAAGTTGTTGCATAGCGGTTTTATTACGTACAACTAGTTTTTTCATATAAAGTAATCATAGCACCTCTCTTTAGCAAATGTATGTACTTTTTAATTTATTGGAGAAAGGTCTCATTATAGGGGACACTTGGAGATTGGTTAAGCATTTTCATGGAATCGAAATACATGAATTTTACTGAGTACTACTTTTATTCATTCAGATTACTGTTTTACATAAACATGCCACAAGACTAATCTATAAACAATAATATGAAAGTCTCAGATTAACTATCATACATGACTTACCACGTTTTCTTGATGTTCTTAGAATTTTATGGCCCCTCCTGGTGTCTGACCCCAGCAGACAGAGGATTGTGTCAAGCCAATGAGAGCAGATTCTACTACAATTCAATTATTGGGAAATGCCGCCCATTTAAGTACAGTGGATGTGGAGGGAACGAAAACAATTTTACTTCTAAGAAGGCGTGTCTTAAGACTTGTAAAAAAGGTATAGAAGACATTCTTCCCATTAATTCACTAGTGTTTTAGATAATTGTATTGAAATTATGAATGAATTTTAATCTATGAAAAATATCCTGAAATTAGTTCTATTTATATAAGAAACAAAGTAATATGATTTAGCTAATAACTGTCCCCTTTTCAATTACATTTAGATAATATTGCTGGATATGTAAGCTGCAATTCCTCTTAATGTCTTCATAGAAAAAGAATCAATTTCAAACAAATCAATGTTTTATTCTTTTAATATTTACATGCGAAGCTTTCATTTTAAAGAATTATACCAAAATAGCTTTGGGCTTTCTTATAATACACAAAATTTTAATGCATTTATTAATTTTCTTCTGAATAGAAAAATGATGCATGTTTAGAGAAGAGTATTAATATGTAAATAAAAATTACCTATAATTCCACTGACCGCCTACAGCCACATGTCCACTTTTTTAATAAAATGGGCATGAATTTCTAACTGAAGATAAATAGTAAAAATCAGCAACATGCTTATCCATTTTTGCTAACTCTTATATATGCAAAGTGACTTCTTTAGCAATAGATTGTTCTACACAAAGACATAGACAAAATTAAAGGCTTTTAAACTAATCAGTTTTTTTGGTTTTAAATATTAAAAGATAATTTGAGGAAATGTTAGATAAAATGTTTTATTATGTTACTTTATCATGCATAAATTTGTTTCTCTTCCTTTTGTAGGTTTCATCCAAAGAATATCGAAAGAAGGATTAATTAAAACCAAAAGAAAAAGAAAGAAGCCGCCAGTGAAAATAGTATATGAAAAAATTGTTGTTAAAAAGATATAAATTTGTTATATTATTACAACATTAATCCTACTAAATATTTTAGATGAAGCTTCTCACTATGATTTTTTTCTTTCCTAAAATCCTTTTAAAATTGCATGAATTTCCAGTCATATATTACCTGCTATTAATACATTTGCATCAGTGTTCCTTTTCTAATCCAATCAAATTGCTTATTCTAGGGCTATAATTTATTAACTGACTACTATGAATTTACTTATTCTCTTGATCCCTAACTATTTGCCATTTAACTACAAATTATCATACTGCTGGCCACCTCAAATGAGTCCATTTTTCTGTTTAGTGATCATCTATTTGAGATTATGTTGTCACTTATTTGTTTTGATCATGTATACGACGATCTTCTTTATAGCCTATGCCCAGATTAAGAAGTACAGCTATTAAAAAACAAGCACTTTTGGGGTTTTACATCTAAAATGGTGACAAGCACCTTCTTCTGACAAAGATCACTCAATTGTGCATTTGGAAAGAGCTGGTAACAATAGAATTCTATCACGTGCTTCCCTCCCTAGACACATGTTCTCTCCTTTTGCACTAACCAGTAGTACCTCGATCAATCTTCAGCCAAACCATATTTGAACAAAGAACACTCAACTCTTTGTCATGTGCCTGCCTGATTTTGATTGATTTAACTTTTTTGGTTTGCTTATGGTTATATCAGTAAAGACAGTTGAATAATTGTTTGTTAAAGACAGATCACGATGAGAAGAAACTTGCTGGAAAAGGGAAGTTTTTAATGGCAATCAAAAAGAAATTCTGTTTATGTACTTCCTAATTTTATTGTTTGACAAAATTTTCTGTCACCAAAAATAGCGATAATGTTTAAGCCTCCTGAAATCTGGTGATTTATCATTAGGATAAATGAATACGCACAACGCAACCAGTAATTCCTGCTTAAAAAAAAAAAAAAAAGCCATGCTATTTCTGGAGAAAATGAAAAAAAAAATTATCAGCAAGGAAGATTCCACTAGAAAATCCAAGCACTGTTCCCTCTCAGGGATTTAACTGACATTTCTCTGAAGTTAATTCACTATATCCAGATCAGTACCTTTCCCTCTCTGCTGAGCCATGTGCAGTCCAGCATCTCAACAGCCTCATCATACACATTTCAGTTTCTATACTGTTCACTTCAAATTTCATATTTACATTTGAACTTGTCATCTAGAAACAACTAACCACTTCAACCATTTAGTTTAGCTTAATGACTACTCTCTAGCAGCAGTATTATAATTCTACCTGTTCCTCAGGCTTGAAAGTTTGAACCCTATCTTGATTTCTTATTTTCCCTCGTACACCACATCTAATCAGTCTCCAAACACTATTGCTTCCTTTTTCATAAGTTCATCCAACTCTAAGGCTTTTTACCTCTACTGCATTCTTCACATCAGTACTGATTTAATTCCTAAGAATTAATTCAGTATATTTCACCACCACTCAAAATCCTTCAAGGACTCACCAGTTGGTACTTGACCCCACCCCATCCCCCACAATTTATTTTGGTGTATATATACATGTATGTGTATATACACATACATATATATATATTTTGAACTTAACTACACTACTCTCTTTCATGACTACTTCAATTTAGTTAAAAGAGTATTCATTGTTCACTGAAAATATCTTTAATTACTCAGCTTATTCATGCTGATTTCCTATTTAAAAATCTGATCCTCTCCAGATCATTCATCTGAAGTCAGGGTCCAACTGATGTGAGCTATAAAATCACTATGTTTTGAGACAGAATAAAAATCCTAATATACAATTACAAATCATTTCCATCCTACGGCATAAAAATTATATCATTACAAAACAGTGTCAATTTGTTCATTTAAGAAAAATTTTGTATCTTAATTTCAAATATTCAGTACATAAGTAACTACTTTAAACTGGATCTTGGCTGTGGAATTCGAGACTTTTGGAAATCAAAACCCCTTCTGAAATATGCTCTGTTGTCATTTATACATGGATAGCAATACCTTTAGATAAAGAGTAAAGTCTCCTTACATCAAGTGGCAAGTTGCCAAGCCCGTTGCTGAGTTGACTAATTGTTTTCTCCAACAACCATTCATGGATTTATTACTTAGTCAAAAAAAGACATACACTCAGATGGTTTGCAATGTTTAATGCATGTGAATATTATTTTTACTGCGTTTTTAAATCAGAAGCCCTCTGGTGGTATTGTCTTGCTTTGTTTTGCATAATCAATTGCATCTAACTGTGAATTTTATATAGATTTACATTACACATCATATACATATATTTACCTACTTTGTTTATACTTTGTTCAAAATTAACAGGTCATGTTAAAAACAGCTCAAATGATTTTATTTTTTACATTATAAAAAATAAAATATCCTGAATAATAAAGTATGACTGTTGTACTCATGAAATTTTTTATACTTAAAAAAAATTAGTGTTCTTCAGTTATCACAAAGATAAAAAGCCCAAAGACAAAGAAAAAAATGTTTCACAAGTTCCAGTCCACTTTTATCTTACCTCTTTTAATTGGAATTTGCTAATAATCCCCTTTCAGTTATAAATGTGCATCCATGTATTATGATTTCTTATTTGTCAAACAAATTAGTATACTATGCTTTACAATCCAAATACTCTACATTTACTCTATTCCATCTATATTTCTATCAATCATTTCTTATGTAATTGTATAAATATGACACGTATATTTAGATATATATCATAACTATACATACATAAATGACTTCCAATCCTAACTATTGAAGTTGGCCTGGCCACTCTCCATACCAGAAGAAGGAAGAAAATTACACTAATGTAGCCACTAGTTAATGGACTTCTTGAATTTTTGTCAGCTGCTCCTGCTTTTGTCTGTTTTTTAATGAAATTAACATTTATATTTGGTTTTTCCAACATTTGACTTTCAGTTCTTTCTCAAGGACATTAGCATGGACACACCTTAATTGCTTTTCCTGCATTCTGCTATACAGAACAGGAAATCTTGATCTTGTCAGTCCCTCTGGCCCAATTTGTGAACTACTATAACCACATAGCTGGTGCCTTGGGTAGAATTATTCAGACCACTTTTAAAGGGAGTAGTGATCCATGGCAATTTATTTTACCAGAGACAGAAAGAGACATTCAGACATTTAATCACATAATACAATGAATAAAACAGAGCATTAGGACAATGAATATGATTTCCTCATCACAGATGAGAAAAATTCTGGCCCAAACAGTCTGAAACAAAACAGGGATATATTTGATTACAAGATTGAAAAGGCCAGAGGTATTTGACTTCAGTATGGGTGGATTCAGGGCCTCATATTATCATCAAAACTCAGTCTGTCTTTGCCGCTGATTCTGCTGCCCAATATTTTTTCCCTTTATTTCCTAATCTCACAGGGTTTCAAAATGACTTCCAAAATTTAAGGCCCACATCCTCTCAGAGTAAAGTTTTCTAGAAAAGTTTGGACTCTCTTACCTCAAAGAATCTAATTAAAGTCCTGGCCTCAGGCACGATCCATGAAAAAAATAATTGACAAGCTGGACTTCATTAAAATTAAAAACTTCGCCTCTGCAAAAGACAATCTCAAGAGATTAGAAGACAAGCCACGGACTGTGAGAAAATATTTGCAAAAGATACATCTGATAAAAAAAACTTTTATCTAAAATATACAAAGAACTCTTAAAACTCAACAATAAGAAAACAAAAAACCCTATTAAAAAAATGGGCCAAAGACTTTTTAACAGATACCTTACCAAAGAAGATATACAGGTGGCAAATAAACATATGAAAAGATAGTTCACATCATATGTCATCAGGGAAATGCAAATTAAAACAACAATGAGCTACCACTACACACCTATTAGAATGGCCCAAATCAGGTACACTGATACCACCAAACGCTGGCAAAGAGCAAGAACAACTCTTAATCATTGGTGGTGGGAATGCAAAATACAGCCACTTTGGAAGACAGTTTGACAGCTTCTCATAAAACTAAACATACTCCTACTATACCATCCAGCAAGCACACTCCTTGGTATTTACCCAAAGGAGATGAAAATTTATATCCACAGAAAAACCTGCACACAGATATTTATAGCAACTTTATTCATAATTGCCAAAACTTGGAAGCAATCAAGATGTCCTTCAGTAGATGAATGGATAAACTGTGTTACATTTAGACAATGCAATGTTATTCAGCACCAAAAAGAAATGAGCTACAAAGCCATGAAAAGACATGGAAGAATCTTAATGCATATTACTAAGGAAAAGAGGCCAACTTGAAAAGGCTACATAGTGTAAGATTCTAAATATATGGCATTCTGGAACAAGCAAAACTACGGACACAGTAAAAAGATCATTGGTTACCAGGAGTTGGGAGGAGGAAGAGATGAACAGGCAGAGCACAGAGGATTTTTAGAGCAATGAAAATACTCTGTATGATACCATAATAATGGAAATATGTCATTGTATATTTGTCCAAACCCATAGAATGTGCAACACCAAGAGAAAACCATTATGTAAACTATGGACGTGGGGTGATGATGTGTCAGTGTAGGCTCATCAACCGTAACAAATGTAACACTCTGCTGGGGGATGGTGATAATGGGAAGGCTATGCATGTGTACATGGTGGAGGATATATGAGAAAACTCTGTACCTTCCTCTCAATTTTGCTATGAACCTAAAACTGCTCTAAAAAAATAAATCTTAATTTAAAAAAAATCTAATCTCACTCTCTTTGACCCAAAAGTCTTAACCCCAACACCACGTTTAAAGAAATGTGACTTTCTGATTGACCAGGTTTGATTCACAAGTCCACTCCCAGATATCCAGTTGGTATAAGCACTACCTGAAATTTGTGATCTGACTGGCAGGGCTTGGACTAGAGTGAGGCAAGAGAGGCACTTGTCCCAGGCACAAAATTTGAGGGGACATAAAAAAAACTCAGTAACCAAGATAAATAATATTGTAATGCAGTTTTTTTTAATTAAAAATAAAGCAAAAATTCATGTAAATATCAATTTTTTTTAATCAAAAGAAACATTTTCTGAGACATACTGGATTCTAAGGCAAAAGGAAAAATCAGTAATACTGATGTTTTAGTAAGAAATATAAAGATGGTTCAAATTTGATCATTGTTTACTGTAATGAAAAATACAGAAAAAATATAAGCCAAATTATTATATTCAATAGATAAAGAAAAATTATTTGATTAAATTCAACACTTGTTTCATGATTAAAAACTTCTAGCAAGCTAGAGAAGAGACCTTTCTTAATTTGATGAAAGATGTCTACCAATGTGGTAACATATAACATTATAGTGGTAAAATTTTAGAAACATTCCCACTAAACTCAAGAATAGGACCAAGGTGCTCTCCATTACCATTAGTATTCAACATATCCAGGCAGTCTTAATTTTACAGCCAAAGCAAAAAGACAAGAAACAGTAATTAGGTATAAATATTATATCATGGTTATTGTCATATAATATGCTTGTCATAATTGAAAATCCAAGAGAATCTAAAACTGTTAACAATTAGAAGTAATACTGGAGTTCAGTAAGATTGCTATATGCAATTTCAACATATGAAATCAATAGCATTTCTGTAACTAAACAGAAAAATAATAGAAAATATGTACTAGCCAC